GGGGGGGGGGGGGGGGGGGGGAGCGAAAACTGGGCCCAAAAGCCGACCGATGGTTTCGTCATGTTTTGGAGACTTTTTTATCCCAATGAAGCAGACTGCGGTTCGAAATGTCGACTGAAATGAAGCACGGAATATGCTGTATGAGAAAGGAGGCTTCTCAATCCGCACCCTCCGTCGGAACAGGATCTCTCAGCATAGGTCAGTGTGGCACTAACACTAGTATAGTGGCACTTTTTACCACCACCATCACTCATACATAATTCCAAGGGTCTATTTTAGCTAACACGCATTTCCGACTGAGCCCAATATTTCTATAAGCGCCAGCTAATGGTGCAGATGATTCCTATGGCTGAGACTATCCAGGGTGCGGCAAATGTCCCGGGACGGCTGTTTATTTTTTAAACGGCTACACGTAGAAAAACGAATTTTTGGGGATGTTCTTGGGTCAAAGTAAGCTGCTTTTTGGCACTCCCCAAAATTTGTTTGGGGGCCCCCCCAGGGGAGGGCGGGGGGCAACTTTTTTTTTCAAATGGCAACCCCCCCTTTGTGATACCTCATTCGAAAGATAATAAAAAAAGAAAATTTTTGGCGCGAACCGCAGGTCAAAATGTTCATTTTTGACAAAATGGCGGCCGGTCAAAGTTCAAAATGGCGGAAATTTGGCATCTCCGTTGTTTATTGACGGATTGGTGTGAAACTCGGAATCCCATGGTTTTTCGAGATGAGAAAAACGATTCTGGCATTGGTTTTCCAGAAAAGTCAGTCCTTTTCAAAATGGCGGCCTCGAGCGGGAAGTGGATATTTAGGTTGCATATCGTTGGATTTGCATGAAACTTGGTATCTGGGGGTATTTCGGCACGAGAAGAACGAATCTTTCATTGGATATCTGAAATCTTGACAAATTCCTAAATGGCGGCGGAAAAATTGCGGGAAATCAGTTTTACGGCTCTTTACCGATGGATTAGCATGAAATTATTTGATATTTCAAGAATCTAATGAAAGATTCCTTTTTAACGAGCCAAAAACCGTCAGGATATCGAATTTCATGCAAATTCATCGGTAAACAGCCGTACAACTGATTTCCCGCCATTTTTCCTCTGCCATTTAGGAATTTGTCAAAATTTCAGATATCCAATGAAAGATTCGTTCTTCTCGTGCCGAAATACCCCCAGATACCAAGTTTCATGCAAATCCAACGACATGCAACCTAAATATCCACTTCCCGCTCGAGGCCGCCATTTTGACCGCCGCCATTTTGAAAAGGACTGACTTTTCTGGAAAACCAATGCCAGAATCGTTTTTCTCATCTCAAAAAACCATAGGATTCCGAGTTTCACACCAATCCGTCACTAAACAACGGAGATGCCAAATTTCCGCCATTTTGAACTTTGACCGGCCGCCATTTTGTCAAAAATGAACATTTTGACCTGCGGTTCGCGCCAAAAATTTTCTTTTTTTATTATCTTTCGAATGAGGTATCACAAAGGGGGGGTTGCCATTTGAAAAAAAAAGTTGCCCCCCGCCCTCCCCTGGGGGGGGGGCCCCAAACAAATTTTGGGGAGTGCCAAAAAGTAGCTTACTTAGACCCAAGAACATCCCAGAAAAATTCGTTTTTCTACGTGTAACCGTTTAAAAAATAAACAGCTGTCCCGGGACTGTTGCCGCTTCCTGTATAACGTCGGTTGATTTCAGAAATATATCATCTAGGTGGTTTTTTAAGTGAAATCGCATATTATTATCGAGCATTAAACACTTTTGCAGAATGTCAAGAAAGGCAAGGAAGAAAGCAAAGCTTTTGCAGAAAGGCAATATATACAATGCAATCAGTTCTGAAGGTATTTTACCAGTTCTGGGTTTTTCATTCTTTCTACTGGAGCTCCATACGTAATGGATCAAATCCTGGAAACTCTCAGTGCAGAAAGTGAGGCGAGCTCGCTGAGATTTTTTATGTGATCAGAAAATCTAAGAAAGAAACAAGGTCATGTACTTCTTCTTTTTAATTTTTTTTTCTTTTCAAAAGCAAATAACCCCTCCCTGCACCGAAATTCTGAAATGAATCAGGATATGCTAAAAATTGAATGATGTGTTTAATGGTATGAAGTTTTAATCGTCCTAGCCACGTTAATAAGTGTCACTATACTAGTGTCAGTGCCACTCTGACCTATGCTGAGAGATCCTATTCTGACGGAGGGTGCGGATTGAGAAGCCTCCTTTCTCATACAGCATATTCCGTGCTCCATCTCATTGGGATAAAAAAGTCTCCAAAACATGACGAAACCATCGGTTTGATGCAACTCGCTAAAGCCAGTTTCGCTGCCCGAGTTCGGTTGACTTTTCGGCCCAGTTTTCGCCTCCCCCCCCTTCGAGGGAGGGAGGGGAGGTATATTTTGAGCTGCATCTTAGTCGATCTTTCAAAAAGCAGCCTGAGTCATTTGCATAAAAAGTTCTCCAAAACATAATAGAAGCATTGGTTTGATCCGACCCGCGCAAGCCAGTTTCGCTGCTCGAGTTCGGTCGCACCCCCCCACCTCCCGCCCGGGGATATATTCTGAGCTGCATCTTAGTCGACCTTTCAAGATGCAGTCGCAATCATTTGCATAAAAAATTCTCCAAAACATGGCGAAAGAATCGGTCTAATACGGCTCGCCGACTCTGAAATCGGTGGCGTAACCCCCCCCCCCTTCCTCATAAGGCAAAATTGTTCAGTTTATGAGTTTGAATGGTCTCTAGCCTATTCAGAGGACACAATAGAATCAAGAAACCATCAAAGAATCTTATAGGCGACCAATAAACCCGGGTGTCAAAACTACCAATTATACGCCGAATTGGCAACTTTGACCCCCAAAATGGGGGGTAAAACTTCGAGATAGGAAGAAACGCCCATTGACACTTCTGATCAGTGGGTTAAGACCTACAACATATCAAAACACCAGCCGATTTAACCGGGCCCACTTTTCCCATAAGACCGGTCCGTCGTCCTTTCTACCAGAATTTCTACTAATATCTTTTAAATTTTAAAAATGAGCAAAAAATATCTAGCATAAGTTCAGGTACCATTTATTTTTCTCTATTTATTACATTACATTCGTGAAACATGAAGAAATTCTTACTTACATCTAATCAGTTGAACCAAGTCGAAAAATTAAGAATATTTTTCCTTTTTTTCTGGGAGATGTCAGGGAATTATTTTTTCAGTCTGTCAGAGAATTTTAATTTTTTTCCCAGTTATTTTGCCGTTTTTGTCAGGGAAATCAGGGATTTGTCAGGTGATTTTTTTTTTTAATATTGCCAGATACCCTGTCAAGTCTATTTGATGCTACGTATTTTCTGAAAGCTTTTGCCACGCTGTAGACGCTCGTTGAAACCACGTTCCTAGTTTTCAAGTAGAAAATTTCCAAAAATTTGGCCGATTTTTAACTTTGATCGCCTGTCTTGTCTCCCCAAAATTTTCGGAGAGCTTGAAACTTTGGGATAAGATAAAGTATTGTCTAGTGAATGAATAGGGCAAGTCTCATAGGTATCTGCCACAAGGGCAAATTGTCCTTTTTTGCACGTACCCCTGTGACTTTGAAATTAGTGATAATTATAATATTTAGAGCAGTATGTTCAATTCTATCTTTCATAAATTGTAGCTGCATACACTCTAAATACATACAGATAAGAGTGAGTTTAGAAAGTTCAATATTTAAAGTTAAAAATTGAATATGTGATGAAAAGTCTTGATACTAACATTAATGTATCTTGAAAGGCACAATGAAGATAGTTGGTCCTCTTTTGCATTCTCTGAGTTAGCCAACCAATTGGGTGTGAATTCTAAAACCCCTGGCTTTGTACGCCTTTGATTAAGGTCAGACCATGAATTCATCCGCCTTATTTAAAATTTTGCCTAAAATGTTCTCCACTTAATCAACTTTTTATCATGTATACTTATCAGGTCACTTGAATCGGAGGACAATGGATTTAAAGTCTGTTAGAAGCTTCTCTACAACTTACCTTATATTTAGTGAAAATGGAGAAGATTTACTGGTGAATCTTGGTGGAGAACACATCTATTTGTTCAACATGGCTCAGAGAAGAGTAGCAGATTCATTCCATTTACCTACCTCGACTGAATCATTTTACAAATTCTCCACAGGTATGTCACAATTTGATGTTCAGCTGTAAAAAAAAAAACTCATTATCTATCAAGATTTCAATTGTACTAATGTTGTCCTAACCTCATAATTTTATCTTTTCCTTTATTTTCTTGAAATTGCTTAATGCAACCATATCGAAAACAAATCCAGACACAAAATGGTGATCATGTGATCATAGCCAAAATGACACAATGACTCTGCTTGGCCCACAATATCCTCTCTATAGAAGGAGCTATCTTATTTAGAGCACAGATTCTCTCTTGAAATTTTTTTCCCGTCTATAATTTTTACCTCTTCAGGAAGAATATTATGGGTAATGCAGAGTAGAGTGGCCCACAAAACACGAATTTTGGAAATTCATAGCTGCAACTGTAATGTGGACTTGGGATTCTATACCACTTTGACCTTTAAAGAAGAAGAGAAGTCGCACTGCGTCAAATTCTCAGAGGTGTAGAGCGTTGGTCTCAGGGCCATTGAATCAATATTTAAAGATGGTTGAAATACCGATTTATTGACGCTACCAAATGGTAAAATCATGCCGACTAAAGAATTGTGTAGGTTTCAAGTTTTCAAAACAGAAACTTATGGGGTAATCATCGTGTTTTAGCTCATTTTTTTGATGGCTCCTGAGTGTCTTTCAGGTTTGGAAAGATGATATTGAAATGAGTCGCATGACTTGGTAAAACGCATCTTAATGTGGAAGAAAAGGGTTCTGCGTGCTCCAGTTTTTAAGTACAGCAGATTTTTTTCTTTTTTTATCGAAAGCGCACTGTTTTTGGCGGAGAGTTTGGTTTGATACGGCAATCCCATTTGGCGTGGGGATTTTTTGAAAAGAGCATTAGAAAAATGTTTCAACCTCTGCCAATTGCTGAGAAATTATCCAATTTACATCCGGTTTTGGACCGTGGGTCTTGTTTTTTTTTGCATAGAATTGATTTCTGAAATAAAAATATGGGGGTACCATTTGAAAATTTCGACTTAGGTTAGGTTAGGTTCTCCGTAGGGGGGGGGGGGTTGGGAAAATTTAAAATACGTCAAAATGTGTCCCCCACGATATAAACGAACACATCTTTTACCCTTTTTCGAAATTCCAACCCGTCGGCCAGATATTCCAGGTGGCTCCTTTTTCGTGAGACACCCTGTATTTGTATGTATTTCCGCCTTTTTCAGACTTTTTTATTTTTGAGTGGTTATATCTTTCTTACGTTGCAAGATATTTCGACCAATTTGTTCATATTTTGTAGAACCTCATTAGAGCTACTATTCTGCCATAAGAAACTGAAATTTGAGTCAATAGATTTTGAGGGGTGGGGCTCGAAAGTGGGGGGTAGGTCAAATCTTGTTCACTCGGTAACTCAAATTAAAATGAATATTTTGAGCTGAAACTTTTATGGGTGGTAGTTCTCCCCTAGGACTGGTTTAATACTGAATTTGAGCAAAATCGCCTGAGCCGTTGAAAAATGGCGAGCTTTGAAAGTTATAGGCGGCCAGTGCGCGGCATGAGGGGAGTCGGCCGGAGCGGGGCCGCACAGTGGGTCAGGGGGAGAAAGTTTTTGGACAAACTGTTCATCGCACAGTGGGTCAGGGGGACGAAGTTTTTGGACAAGCTTTTCGTCGCTCAGTGGGTCAGGGTAATTTCCAAGACCTCTACTCCCACTTCGGGAGGTACACTTTCCTTCCCGCGGTGGATGCGGGTCACTAAATGAAAAGGAGAAACGACTGAAATGAAGCGCGCGTCTTGGGGGGGGGGGGGGG